TATATTTAGACAAATTGAGTTCATTGGTAGAACAATTGAATGGGGGGGGAGGGGGCGGAAGCCATTGAGGGCAATCATGAATGTCAGGGACAATGGAGGAGGAAGATGGGACATGGCAGAGGGTGGGGATGGGGAACCTAGGATGGTAAAACAAAAGGCAAGGTATGCAGGACACAAAAATTGGGAAATCATTTGCTGAGAACATATATGTTGATGTGCTTGATTGAGCCAATGCACAGTGTATTTTGGATGAGAAAAAAAAGAAAACAGAACCCACCCCTCACCCTGGTCTGGACCACCCGTGTAAAGGACTGCCCCAGGGGCTGCTTTCTCACGCTCCTGGGCTTTGATACCAGCGTAGGTAAAGGTGATCTTTACTTCTACCAAAGGCAGGATTTGTGGGGACATGTTATCCCAGAAAAGCAAGGAGAGAGAGAGAAAAGAACCCTCCAGAGTCAGCCTGCCCCCTCCCAGGGTGCTGTACTCACACAATCTCCCCTAAACTGGCAAGGTAGGATTCCGTGTCCGAAGGAGAGATGTCTGAGTCTAATCCGGCCAGGTACTGGTACACGTAGGAGAAAGTCTCGAACGGGATTCGAGCAGGCCCGCCCTCGGGATCGGTGGTGAGGATCTCGCAGAGGTGCTTCATTGCGGAGTTGATCGACTAGAAACGGGACAGACGGGCAAGGGCACAGTTATTCGAGCCCCTGAAACTGAAAGCGGGCACCAGCAGAATGAATGCTCAGGCACACTGTACGCGGGTTCTTCCAAAGTGTCCATTAAATGAACAGAGGTGGACGCATAACGATCATAACGAAATGTGAAAGTTTGATCTGGATGCAAAAGGCCAGAAAGAAACACACAGAGCACTGTTCGCATTTGCTATAGGGTGTGGGTGCTCACCAGAGAGACAGAGAGAGAAGGGAAGTGAGATGGCACCCCAGGGAGGATGGCCACGCTGCAATCCCTCCTCCTTCTGGGACCCTGGGTACGTATGCACATGCACCCAGTGTGTTTTTCAAGCCACCAGGTCCGGGACTCAAACAGCCATCTTAACCACCATGCCACTGGCTGGCCCTCACGGATTTTATCTTATACTAAGATGGGAATGACTGTCACGGACAAGAGGAAGCACCAGTGTCTCTAAATTCAGACATCAAGGGTCAGGGCAGAACTGTGCAGCCTCTGCAGCTCAGACACCGTGGATGGGCCCAGGGGCTACGTGACCTCTGTTACCATCCAGAGGCACAACCTGTGGAGGCGGGGCTCGGGGGGGCAGGCAGGGCGTCTGGCCCCGTGACGTCCCAGCCACCCAGGCTCTAGGCCTTGCTTACACAGAGGGCTCCAGGCCTTGTCTTGCTTACAGGGAAGCACTGGCCCTTTCTCCCCTGCAGACGGGGTGTCACTAATGCTCCTGCCCACTGTCAGCTCAGCCTCGGGGCAGCCCCGTCCCAGCCAGCCCTGTCCCCCACTGTCAGCCTGAACTCCTGTTTGGGGGAAGTCCTCCACCAGCTCAGGGCAGAAGCTTCCAGAGCGTTCTGTCCATGACAGGGGCAGCTAATGGGCCTAGGTTTTCCTCAGGAGACCAGAAGCTCCAGGGCTCAGGAGCTACAGGCCCAGAAGCCAAGGTCTGCCTGGTATCGAGCCTCTCACCTCCAACTGGCTCACCTCACCTTTGCTGAAAAAAGATGCTTTTTTAAGGAGAGGTGGAAAACCCTCAATTAACTATCTTTTTAGAAAGCAGAGCCCGAGTCTCCTCTTCCCACCATCCTGCCCTGTGGCCTCCAATGCCTTGGCCATGGTGTGCCAGGGAACTCTTCCTCACTAGGAAGGCAGGTGGCGGACTCACAGTGGTTACACATGACACTACACACCCGCACACGCACGCAGAGACGCACCCCCTGACACCGTGTTCTCCAAGTGCCCGCTGCGGACTGGTGCCTAGCACCTGCTCTCATTGCACTCGCACTCTGGTCGGTAGGGCCAGCAACACCTGCATTTCCGAGTGCTAGAGAAGTGGGCGAGATGGGACCAGCAGGTGGTTCAGGGCGCTGGATTCCCACAGCACAGACCATGGCTCGAATCCCAGACCTAGCAGCTTGCTTCCCCGCCTCTCTGGTCAAATTAAAAAATAATAACAAATGGAGTTAAAAGGTAGTAAAAGAAAGATTTCTTTTTAAAAAAAAAAAAAAGAGAGGAAAGAAAGAGAGAGAGAGAAGGAAGGAAGGAAGGAGAGAGAGAGAGAGAGAGAGAGAGAGAGAGAGAAAGAAGAGGAAAGAGAGCCAGGGTGGCCAGCAAAGGTCTCACTGAGCAGCTAACGTTAAGCAAACCGTCGGAGGGAAGGAGCCATCCGTGGGATGCAGGAGAGGTCTGGGAGCATGTCCGTGTGGCGCAGAGTCCAGGAACTCAGTGTGGTACAGCAGCTCAGGGAGAGGAAGAGAAGAGGCCTGCGGCATAGCGGGTGAAGCGCCGGATCCCTCATGGCCGACTGCCCAGTTCCTATCCCAGACCCAGCGGTTTAAGACCCATGCCGGCGCCTGTGTGCCCAAACTCCCAAAGAAGGGAGAGATGGAGACGGGATCATGGCGTGACCATGCTCCATGCCCCTGTCTCTCTCTCTCTCTCTTTCCAGTGAGTGCAAGGCCTGTCTGGCAAAATTTAAAACAAAAAAGGAATAAGTTTTTTTAAGAGACGGGCTAGCCTGTGGCATGGTAAAGGCGGCTGGGTCCCACATGGCCAACTTTGCAATTTGAGCCACTGACCCTGTAGCTTGAGAAACACGTCAGGCATGTGTGCGTGCATGCCCCAAGTCCTAAGGGGAGGGGAGGGAAATGATTGTGGCATGGTCATCCCCCTGGGCTGTGATTTCTCACTCCCTCTCACTTTCTGCCTCTCTTCAGTAAGTACACATGCCCCATAGCAAAAAATTTTAAAAATAAAACACAGAGTGTCATCCAGTGAGGCGCCCCACTTTCATGGGCTCCCTCACAGCTACAAAGTCCTGGCTGCTCCCAGGTGGCACACAAGCCTCTGAAGCAGAAGCACCTCCATCTTTGAACCTCACCTTACACTCGCTTCCTCCTTTTGCCCAGAGAGAAGAGCGTGACTAAGTCTCGCTGTCTTTGCTAACGAGCCCGAAACCTTTTTGTTTAGATGTTTCTTAGCAATGTAATCACCAGTCACCAGACGCCTGCCCGGAGCCGTGGGGCCATTAATCGAAGGTCTGGAGAGGGCCCTTAGAAACGACTAACCTGCTTGGTTCGGCCTCTGTAACTGCTTTTCCACGGGAGCCCCACTCCCTCTCCTCCTCACCCCTCCTCGGTCTCCACTGCAATCACCATGTGAACAGTGTGCTCACACCTCCCTGGCTGGTGTGGACATACGACAACCAACAGTCCCCTGACTCCCAGATGCGGAAGCACAGTGGAGGGCGCCCTGTGCGCAGTGGGGAGACGCCCTGAAGGGGCGTCTAAGACCCTTCCCATCTGTCTCATCATCCGCACAGGCTTTCTCAGCTAGAACACGTGTCTGGGCTTGCCGAAGGTCAGGGGCTGCACCAAGCCGGTGGAGGGTTTTCCCAGGCGTGGGCCGTGGTCCTGGAGAGCAGCCGTCTTTCAGACAAGACGCCTCCCGTGTTGACCAGAAAGGGGACGTGGGGTCATGATGGCCAGCACAGGTGACTCCGGCGAGACATGTGAGCCCAACCACGACTCCCGCCGTGGGACTGGTCCACAGAGGACAACCACCCCTCCTCTCCCTCCGACAGGCCAGGGCAATAGGCCCAGCCAGGCCGAAGGGTTTGGGGGTGTCTCAACTCTCACTCTGCACTGGCGGGGTGGGGGAAGCAGGGTAGAGCAGAGGCGACCGCACTCCTCTGAAGGCGGCAGGACCAGCGCTCACACTTGACCCGGCCCGAGTTCAGAGCCCTCTGGACAAGAGCAGAGAGTGGCTAGGGTTTTGCACAAGCAGAAAGGGATCCTGGTGCCCCAGAAAAGAATCACAGCCTCCATGAGCCAAAGGTGGCCTCAGTGAGGGACAGGCACTGACCGGTAAGTGGACTGCTCTGTGTAAAGCCACTCCCGAAACACGAAGTCACACTTTGCAGGGAGAACAAGGAACGCTGTCCTCTCTGCTGCTCCCCAGACGGTGTAGAAGGTGGAGCTCTGTCTTTAACACAATGTCTCCACCTAGTGCCCACAGCACGAGCAAATGAGAGGCCTCACTTTCCAAAGCAGACTTGGTTTGTTTTATTTTACTTCATCTTTGCTCTGGGGCATGTGTGCTCGGCCGGAGAGACAGAAAGCAAGAAATCACTGCCCAGGGCAGAGAGTCATGCCACAACCCCTTCTCCTCCATTTTCCCCTGGGGATCTTGGGCACACACGTACATGCACCCTAGTTTCAAGCCACCAGGTCTGGGACTCGAACTGCGGTTGGCTATGTGGGAGTCCAGCGACGTAACTGTTACGCATCTGCTAGTCCCGATTCAGCTTGTTTTAAACCTAGTGGGTAATCTTCACAGTTACGAAGGTAGAAATGATAAAGATGGATCTCAAAACATAAATTGTTCTACTCTCGAGTCTCAGATTGTGAGACTCCACAACCACGTTTAGAGAGAGGAACCTCAAACATTAATTCAGACACTAGACATTAATCTTATGTCATTAAAATCTTGATTTCAGAGCTGGCCCTGTAGTGCAGTGGTTAAGCCCTGCGCGTGACGAGCTGGATCTCACACAGCCACGCATAGTTGACATCCAACCCTGGTGGCTTGAAAAACACACCAGGCACCTGCGTGCATGTGTCCAAAATCCTGATGGGAAAGAGAAATAGAGGACGAAGGACTGCGGTGTGATCACGCCCCGCCGGGGGAGGGCACTGTGCGCAAGCAGGAAGAACCACCTTGATTTCACCAAGTCCCAGATGGACAAAGCGACACAAAAACTTCCCCAGGACCTAAACATATTTGCCTTTGTTCTCCTTGGAGCACCTCCCCAGCAGCACGCGGGCCTGTCTGTGCTCTGGGTGAGCCCGGTCTGCGAGCGGCAGGCCCCCAGCCACTCGCTGTCTCCCCCTGAGCAGCCCTCTGGCCAGTGCATGGCACCCCTGCTGGCTATCGTACGGCCCCCAGCCTAACCTCACCTTCCTGAAGTTATACAGTTTCTCCCCAGGGCCAGCAGCAGAGCCAGGAGATCGTGTGTGAGTACAGGGGTTCGCAGAGCAGAGGGTGCGTGCACTACAGCAGTCTGCGGCCATGCGGAAGGAAAAAGACAGCTATACACTCTGGAATGAAGAAAGTGCCAGGAGGTTCCTAACGACTCCTTATTTGCTGTTTTGCCATAGGGCACATGTACTCGCCAGAGACAGACAGAATGAGAAATCTCCCCCCACCCCAGAGGAAACAGCCATGCTAAGCCCTTCTCTTCTGTTCCCCTCGGGATTTTGGGCACACGCGCACATGTGCCCGGGAATTTTCGAGCCTCCTGGTCCAAAACTGGAACCGCATAGTTGGTCATATGAGATCCTGTGCTTAATCCCCACACCTGTTGGCCCCTAGACCATTATTTTTTGTAACATTAAAACCAACCTAAATCTAGTAACGTGCTTCTTGGCATGTATACATAAAAGCGTTTCCTAGGGCCTGCAGGTAGTGTGGACATTAAACTGGTGGATCCCACGTGACCAACTATGCAGTTCGAATCCAGGACCCACTGGTTTGAGAATCACGCCGGCCTCCATGTGCATGCATGCCCAAAATCCTGAGAGGAGACTGGAGAGGGACTGCGGCATGGCCACCCCTGTCACTCTTTGGTAAGCACACATGACCTATAACAAGCTAACACAAAAATAAGTAAATAAATAAAAGTTTCCTGAACGGCAGGAGAGTTACTGCTTGAGTGGTGGAAAAACAGGAGGGTGGGTGGACAGGACAGCAGGAGGACACAGGAGCCAGAGGTGCCCATCAGGAAGTGGTGACCCTCGGAAGGTTCACGGGTGCTCGTTATACAGAGAACTTTCACATATTCACAAATTAAAATGGGCCTGAAAAGATGTTTGCATGGGCTGAAGTCGGTGTGTGCCGTGAGGCCAGGATTATGAATTGCTCAGTTATGGACTCTGGTGTCCGAAGAAGAAGGGACGGAGTAAAATAACACTTCATCTACACAGTAAAGGGAGCCGCTCTCTTTTCTGAACCTGCTTCTTTTTTCTTTCTTTCTTTTTTTTTTTTTTTTTTTTTGAGTTTTTTTGCCATAGGGCACATGTGCTTGCTGGAAAGACAGAGAGAGACAGAAAGCAAGAAATCACCCCCCAGAGAGGATGGCCACCCGCAATCCCTTCTGCTCCATTCTCCTCTTGGGATCTTGGGCACGCACACACACGCCCGGCGTGCGTTTAAGCCGCTATGTCCGAGGCTGACTACATGAGAGTCCAGCGACATAGCCATTACACCATCTGTCGGTCCCTGAACCCCCTTATTCATAAGCTTAACATGGTGACCTTCCTTCAGTCAACCACCGTGTGTACTGTGCGGTGTGACTGCGACACCTCGGTAGGAAAGAGGCACCAGCCCTCTGAGGGCGTCCTGCCACATCTCCAGGTTCCCCCCTCTCCCTGCCCCATCCCGACCGACGAAGACCACCAACTCAGCCCTTCATAACCCTGGGGCTCGCCCTCATCCACGCCTCGTACCTTAACATCAACAGAACTGTACTCTGTGAGGTATTAATAGGTTTTATGTCGCTGTCGTTCCAGGGCACATGTGCTCACCAGAGACAGACAGGGAGAGAGAAAGTGAGAAATCACTCTGGGGACAGGGGTGGTGGCCACGCCACAGTCCCTTCTCTCCCAGCATCCTCTGGAGATTCAGGCACACATGCAGGCACACGAGCCACCAGGCCCAGGGCTCAATCCACACAGCCGGCCACGTGGGATCCAGTGCCTAAACTTCTACACCACCTGCTAGCCCCAGGTACAAAGAGATTTTGACTAACTCCTGAGATTGCATCTTTCCACAGATGAGGAAAAAGTCGTAGTCTCAGTTTACAAAACGACATTTCGTTTAACAAAACATCAACACATTATCTTCTAAAACTGAAATACACTTTAATAGTATCCCTATATTTATCTACTGTTGACATCTTAAATTGAGGTATTCGTAGGTATTTAATTTTTATGAATTAAAACAACCATAAACCTGAAAGCAAACTAGGTCTTCTGGAAAAACAACACAACTGCTTTTCTAAGGCAAGGTTACTAAAACAGAGAAGAGTTTCCTACAGTTTCTGAACCCTAACTTACCCTTCAGGCAGGCCTCTGATGGCACCCGATAATTAACGTGCTATTCTCGGTACGTACCCCGCCGAGCATGCTGCATCCGAGCGCTAAAAACTTGATCCACTCGATCTGGTGTTCGCAAGGGTCCAACTGTAAGATGGCGGCGAATTTTTCTAGTGGCAGGCACAAGTTTTTCCACTTCTGCTCAAGATCTTCCAATTCCACGTATTGCTTATGGCTATACTGTTTAGAAAACACAGCATGACACCATCGAGTAAGTGCTCAAAACCTGTGAAGCAATATAACGCTTGTGCATATTTAAATACCCATGGAGTGCCCGGCCTGGCAGTTCATGGCAGTGAGCCGGCAGCCCGGGGAGGGGCGAGGCGGGGAGGGTGAGGCAAACACCACGCACGCTCAGACCTGACAACATTAGCATGCGAGTACTGGGAATATGAGCCTCCACTGTCTGTTGGAAACATGTCATGATGAAAAATAAACCTCAATAAATAAAACTAAAAGGTTTAAAAACCCAGCCCCCTAAACATGTCAGCAGTTAAACAGGAGAAACCTTAAAAGTAAAAAATAAATGTAGGGCCAGCTGGTGGTATGGAGATTAAGGTACCTAGATACCATGTGGCTGACTTTGGGGTTCGAGTCCCAGACCTGGCAGCTTGAAAATCACGCTGGGTGCCTGTACATATGAGATGAGAATGAAGAAGGGGCTGTGGAGTGGCCATCCCCCAAGAGGTGAATTCTCAGTTTCCCCCTCTCTGCCTCTCTTCAGTGAGTGTACAACCCTATTGCAAAACCAAAAGGAACATTTTTAATTTAAAATAAATGTATTCCTTCCACTATTTTTTCCCCTATAGGGCGCGTGCACTCGCCAGACAGACAGAGAGAGACATAGAGACAGAAAGCGAGAAATCACCCCCCGGGGGGATGGTCATGCCGCAATCCCTTCTCCTCCATTCTCCTCTCGGGATCTCGGGCACGCACGCACACGCGCCCGGCATGAGTTGTAAGCCACCAGGTCCAGGACGCGAACCGCTGTCGACTACGTGGGAGTCCAATGACACAGCCATTATGCTAACTGCTGGTTCCCCCTTCCACTATTTTAAACAATCTATGAAAGCTGATACCTTCTGCTATCCACTAGCAGTATTCTGTGGGGTGAGCTTTGAGCAACTTCAGCATTGTCTTTTCCTAAGCTACATTCCATGGCTATTCATCTCCCTTAAAGCAGAGAGCCATGAAAGGTCCCACTCAGAATTCAGTGTACCTTGTACAGGAACACAGAACTTCGAGACATACAATGGGATAAATTACTTTAAAAATAAAGCCGAGGGAGCAGCCTATGCACAGCAAAAATGCAGCACTCTGCAAGGCTGATGTGCACGGGAGAGTTCTGGGTTCCGATCTAGAGGCCTCCCTCTGTGCACCGGGAAGGTACACACCCACGATCCGGGACTGGCTGAGATGAGGTGAGTTGCAGATCAAGAGCTTGTCTCTCTGTGTCTCTCTTTGTCTCTCTGTTTCTCTCATTCAAAGAAAAAAATAAATAAATGAAAAAAAAAAAATCCAGGTCATACCATTGGTGTCATTTTGTATTAGTAGCAATGCAGTCCACTTATTCTGAATGTCACCTTGAATCCGTCATGCCCTGCCTATCAGCTCATTCTCCAGAATGGCGGAGGGAGAAGGGACACCGCAGCTCCCGGCCTGACTTTCAGGACTGCAAACCAGGTGGACTGCCACCACGGGCATGAAGGGCGAGTCTGTGTGCCGAGGAAGAAGGCAGATCACTGCCTGGGCGCGGGCACCCCCTCGTATACACGTATTTCAAGAGGGTCCTGAGCTGCCCCTTCTAGCCGTAGAATCTTGAGCTCGCGAGTAGCTACCCTGGGTTCTGTAAACGGGAGAGATCCCACCAAACCTGGCATACTGCATCACTGAGTGACCCTTGACGGTGACATGGCAGTGACATCAACCTGGTGGCCCTGCTCTTGCACCGGCAGGGCAGGGAGGGGGAGTGCGTGGAGAAGGTACCGCCCGCTGTATGTGCACACAGACCCTGCCCGTACCTGCTTGTGCAACACTTTAAGGAGTCCTTGAGTCAGGCCTGTGTCCGTTTTCTGGGTTGCCACAGGCATTTCGATTCTGTCCTTTACAGGAAGTGGATCACCACGTGACAAAGCTGAAAAATATCTAATAGCCACAGACAACCATGAAAGCTCATCAATACACAAAAATCACCTCATTTATGTGCTTTCTTAAAGGACCCTGGAGAACAGTGATTACAGAAAGGAGAGCTCTAACCCCCAGGGCCAGGGCGTAGTCCTGCTCCTCCACCTTGCTGGACTTTACCTTCTCTCATGCCTCGGTTCCCTGCAGAGTGCAGCTAATGAAAGGCTGGTCTCTGGCTTCCGGGAGCACCGAGGGCAGCTCTCAGAGGGGCTTCCTGAACAGGTGCTCTGCCGTCAACCGAGCACCCTGAGTGGCTATGACAGGTTGCCAGAGCGGACGGCTGACCCCGTGATGGCCTGGCACCGTTGCCCCACTCCTGACAGTTTGGGTTGGTCTCCCCTGTGCCTGGTCTTGCTGCTGTATGAGGTGTTTGACCTTAAGCCACTCTGCACGTGAAACTCCAAGGTGGCCCAAAACATGAAGGCCGCCGATTTTCCACACTGGGGAGGGGGTCAACCACTGGTCACTGCCCTGCCCCTCCACTTGTCCCGCTTGGCCTTTGCTCCCTCCGTTGTTCCTTTCTGGGACACTCATACTGCTGCCTGTGTGTGGGGGGGCACAAGTTGAGAGGGGGCTCTGTGGGGGGTTTGGACAGACAGGGTCTTAGAAATTTGCCGCCTGTGTGCACTGCCGCTTGGTGCCATAGCCATAGGCCCGCTGCCCCGACGACCTCTGATAGCAGAAGGGTAAGGCTTGCCCAGGATGATGGGTGCCGAGCCACCCACCAGGGCCACAGGCAGTCCTTCAAAACAGCGGTCCCAGCCTCCCTGGCTCCAGGGACCAGGCTCGTGGAAGACAATCCCTCCACAGATGAGGATTCGGGGTGGTTGGTCCTGGGATGACCCGAGTGCACCGCAGACACTGTGCACCTGTTTGCGCACTGCCACACTGCAATGTACGAGGTAGCAATCACACAGCCGGGGCTGAGTCCCGTGAGCCCCAACACCGCGGCAGTGTGAACGATGGGGAGCTGGTTTGTCCCGGCCCTCCTCCTACCTGTGGCAGGGGGTGGGGTGCAAGGGCAACAGGCCAAGGACCGGCCCTGGCCCCACAGCCTGGGGTGTGGGGACCCCTTGCTAAAGGTAGGAGTACTCACAAACAGTCTGCATAGGTAACACCCCTAAATGTGCACGAGCCCATATTTGACAGACCGGAAGAAAGTTCATAGATCCGCCCTTTCCCTTTTCATCCCTCAGATTCAGATTTTCATGCCTGTAAAGCAGCTGGAGCTACAATCTGTGGTTTTGTTAAAGGTTTGAAGAAAAGTGAAATAGGAGAAACCTGCTTTGACAAATGTTGGCTGAAGCCCTAGGGGGCTGGGCTGAGAGGTGGGGGCTTAGCTTTGCCAAGTCACTTCAAAACGGGGTTTCCCACTGATTTTGAGGAAATTATTTTGAGGAAATTTGATCAAAGGACTCGCAGCTCAACAGCGTCTGCAGCAAGGTTCTCAATCAGGGGGATTTAGCCGCTGCCCACCCCACGTTTGGCAACTCCTGGAGACCTCTGACGAGAGGGGACACTGCTGGCATCTGACGGTGCAGGCCAGGAGGTTGCTGGCAGCCCTGCCACGCGGGTGCTCCTCCCCTCCATGCCCTCCCGGCTGCCAGACCAGGTCCTCCAGGGCAGCCGTGAGCCGAGCAGCCTGACTGCCCAGTTCCCGTGTCTGCCACACTGGGTGCTGCGCGGTAGCACGAGGACACACTGCGAGCAGCCGACGACCACCAGCAGGGTCGGTACACTCTGCAGCAAGACGAAGTCACCTTTGTCGTCTAGCCACCCAAACACCTCCTTTAAAAAGAACCTTCTGCTGAGCAAACAGGACTGTCTCAGGAGAGCTCTCGGCAGAGTGCCATCCTGCCTTCCAGGCTCCCTGCTCCCTACGCTGCTGCCTCTTCCTGGAGCCCCTCTGCCTCCGCAGCCCTAGTCTCTGCCTATGAAGCCTTTCAAAGACCAAAGTGCTGGAGACCAGCAGTTATCGTAATGGCTATGTTGCTGAACTCCCATGTAGTTGATTGTGGTTCGAGTCCTGGACCCAGTGGCTTAAACTCACGCCGGGTGCGTGTGCGTGCATGCCCAAGATCCCAAGAGGAGAATGGAAGAGAAGGGATTGTGGCGTGGCCATCCCCCTGGTGGGGGTGATTTCTCGCTTTCTATTTATCTGTCTTTCTGGCAAACACACGTGCCCTATAGCAAAAAAAAAAAAAAAGACCAAAGTCCCTCTGCCTAGCTCCTAGGACCCTGCATGGACCCCATTCCCAGTTCCCTCTTAATGTGAGCCGTGTCTGAACGTCTCTCCCTACCAGGTCATGTTCTGAGAGAGCTGGGACAAACAGTCCAACGGGCAATGCCTGGTTGTCTTCTACACTCTAAAATGGCTATTCGGAGAAATCAGTACCATGGAGCTCTCAGGGGGATCTCAAGCAAATCTCATTTAAAGTGAAGGTAACAATGGTCTCCAACGTTTTGGGTTGTTGGAAAAGTCTTTTTTTTTTTTTTTTTCTTGCTATAGGAGACATGTGCTTGCTGGGGAGACAGAAAGACAGAAAGCAAGAAATCACACACACACCCCCAAGAGGGGTGGTCACACTGCAACCCCTTTTCCTCCATTCTCCTCCCAGGATCTTGGGAACGCACGGACATGCTCCCAGGTGTGAATTTCAAACTGCCAGGTCGGGGACTCGAAATGCAGTCAACCGTGTGGGAGGTCCAGTGACATGGCCATTACGCCATCTGCTGGTCACTCTATGTTTTTCTATGCAAAAATGTGTCATGACTCTTCTGACAACCCAATATTATCAAATACAATCAAATGTTCCAAGAAAAAAATTTGCTAAATCTTTAGAATTTTTTGTACAGTGAGAATAAATCCTTTTTAAGATCTAACTTTTATTTAGGCTTGAATAAAGGTTAAAACAAGAGGCCATGATTCTGTTAAGCAAGAACAAGTGAGAACCCTTCCGATGCCATGACAAAAGTGTGTCTCAGAAGGCAAGCCCTGGACTGACAGGCTGGCGGGTCCCTGCAAATGTTGCTTTCCACGGTCACGGGGACTCTGCTGATGGGGGATTTTACCCTGGGTTATGGCGATGGCTCCTCAATGCAATCCCGAGTGTCCTTAGAAAAGGGTGGACAGGGCAATTAGAAGATGCTGACTTTAAAGACAGAGGAAGGCCCTGAGCAGGAGTAGAGGGCCACAGCTCAAGGAGGTGAGAAGTCGGGAAGCAGAAACGGGTTTTAACATTTGTTGCAGTAGCCATGGAAAACGAATTCGCCTCGTAAGGTTTACAGACAGCACAGTCTGACCTGCTGGTTACCGAGAAATCTAAGTTAGGGCCCAGGCTGGGGCAGGGGCAGTGTGCACCGGCCTGAGTACACTGGCCAGTGCTGTGTGTAGGGAGCCCCAGGCCAGCCGCCACTGGGGGTGGAGCGCAGTGTGGGATCCTGATGGGGATGTCTGTCTGTCTGCCTCTTCTGTGTCCCTGTCCTCCTCTTTCTCATGAAAGAAGCAAATGTAAAAAAGAGTAAATTAAGTTTGCGACTAATCTCGTCATGAATAAAAATGAGTTTTTGTCTACATCTGGGTTTACTGAAAGGGAACAAAGCTTTCTTGTAAGTTCAAACATATTTATGTTAATGGTTCTAAGGTCTGTTGACTTAAAACCTTAACATCATGAATCTGTTCCTGGAAAGGGCTAGAAGGCACTGCCGGTCGCGTGCGGTCAGCTCTGCGGGGCAGCCTGAGGACCACGTAAGCTGCGCTGGTTTTCATACCTCACAGTAAGTACTCAACTGCGGTGACTCAGCCGGCAGGGGGGTAGCTAAAATAGTCTTTCTTGCCAAGTCATTTCACAAATAAAACGAAGTGGCTGTAGTGGTGTGAGTTTCTAGCACAAGGCAGAAACGTTCCACCCGGTGTGACTGCTTTGTACATGTAGGGTGTGTGCAGAACCTCGCTCCAGCAACAGTTGCCACGACGCCGTAGGGAAGCAAGCTCTCGCAACGCCGCCGGGGCTCACCGCCCAGACCGAAGGGCGCCGAGGCAGGCACTTCGGTCGGGATGCCGCCACCCTGCGCGTCCTGAGCGAGGCTCTGGACCCGGGTCCGGGAAGGAGGCTTCACTGGGCACGTGTGGCTGGGGCCCCGGCGTGTCTAGGGGCTCTTACCCCGCGGACCACTGCAGCACGTCGGTGGGCTGGGTGCGGATCGCAGCCTTGGTGAACTGCTTCAGGATGTCCGGCAGCTCAGGGGGAATGCGGATTTGCTGCGCGCAGAACATGGTCTTGGGGAGCGGCATCGCTCTCCGCAGACCGGAGAAACAGGGTGCTGCGGGAGGAAGGGCGGGCGGGTCAGCGAGACGCCGTGGGGCCGCCCGCCCTCCCCCGGGCCGGGGCCGGCAGCTGGCGGGGAGTCTCACCCGCTCCTCCTCGGGCTCCTCGGGAAATGAGGGGCCACCCGCTCAGCTAGCGACGCCGCGGACTCGGCTGCTCTCGAGCTCAAGCCGCCTCTATCGCGTACACACGGTATCTAGGCAACCGGCACGCGCGCGGGCCCCGCCCCAGGCTGCGCGCACGCACACGTCCCTCGGGCCTCCGGGTCGGAGCGAGGACCAGAGGAGGTGCGCCTGCGCAGTCCGTCCGGAGCCCGTACGCTAACCCGCGAGTTGAAAGTTGCTAGAGCTGCACGTTTCACTTAGAAAAGCGCCTTCTGGTCCATGTCTCGCAGCCGGGCAAGCTGCGAGCAAGCGGTTAACGTACTGGGGACTGGTCGGTGCACGCGGCACGTGGTCCTGGCAGGTTCTCCCACCGTCTGCCTGGATGCTTGCTCACGCCGTGCCCACCGCCTGATTCGTCTCTTAGGGAATGCTCATTCCTCAGTTTAAGACATTGTGTTTACACAATGAGCAGTTTCCAGCCAAAACAAATTCTACTTGTTTTCCCAAGTAAAATAGGATGCCCGAGCCAATCTGACTGGATCTAGGAGGAAATAAGACAAAAGCTTCGGGTCTAAGGATGAGAGATTGCTCGATTCGGCGAATGCTGACCCGACCCGCACACAAGGTGCGAGCCTTGGCTTGGGGGCGCCCAGGCTGGCTGCTGCGGCTGCCACGAACTCTCACTGGGAGATGCAGAACAATACGAGCTGTTTCCAGGAGGGGCTGAGGGCGAGCCTGCCTCTAAGGAACTGGGGGATTTGTCCCATTACCACCACCACCACCACCACCACCACACACTTCCAGTAACACCACAGGTAGAAACTGAAATAGCCACTATTTTAAAGTTGATTGCGGTATGAGAAAAAAAGAATCGCATACACTGTTGATAGGTGTGTGCTCATCAGAACCCACGGTGAGGGCAAACTGGCATGACTTAGCAGTCTTACAGGAATTCAACCTACAGAACTACTAACCTGGTACAAAAAGTAGGACGAAAATGGTTACCGTAGCGGTGAAATTAAATGGGTCAAGTAACCGTCTCAGAAACCTTAGATCATGGATATCCATATGATGGGATACAATAAGGCCAGAATAAACAAAGTTGGGAAGCTACAGATGTCTTGAAAAGGGGTCCATGAATTAAAAAGTGAAAAAAAAAAAAAAAAACCAGAACGCTGTGTAGCCTGACACCTTTGCTATGACAGACGATTCTGTGAACGTGCACTAACACACAGGACAGTGTGGAAGCACACACTAACATACCAACTGCAGTTACCTCTGGAGAATGGGACAGAGCGTCCGGGTTTTTAGCCATGGACACATTACTTTGGTTTCTTAATTCATTTACTTACTCAGCAATACTTGAGTGCTACATACATGCCAGGGATTATTCTGGATTCTGGGAATACAGTAGTAATTTACTTTAAAAAAAAGAAAAAACTGTATCTTACATCCAAATAGGAAAAACATGCAAATACAAATAAGAAAGGATGCAATTATAAACAAGAAAGGAAAATCATGTATTATGTTTAAGAAAAATAGAGCAGCAAGACCAGAACGGCCCGGAAACTGAAACCTCACTGGCAATGACTATTCAGCGTAAGAAACCAGAGGCTGGGGAGAGCCTGGATGGCGCTCAGGCACGGCAGAGGGTAAGTGCAAACGCCCTGAAGCCTACCCTGTTCGGGGGCCAGGGAGGCTGTCTGGTCAGAGAGGGGAGGAAGGGTGCTCCATGTCTCGCTGGTGTCAAGGGCATCGTGCACTTGGACTGTAAGCAGGACGGCAGTCTAGGGTTCCGAATAGAGGACCAAGCTGTGACCTGACAGACCGCGACAAACGCTGGGTTCAGTGTGGGAATGAATGGGAACACAGCGAGGGCAATGGCCGTGATCCGGGCAGGAGAAAGTCAGTAAGCTGTGCACCAGGATGATAGCAGGGGAGATCAGATTCCAGATTTACTTGGAAGATGAACAACTCGCAGTCTGACCAGGTAGAGCGTATGAGAAAAGGAAGTTAGTGATGTTTCCAACACTGCTCTATTAGCAACTAGAATCCTCAGAGCCCAGTGCTTACCACCTGAGAAGGGTACGTTTGAGAAAATGGCAGATTTGGGGCAAAACAATCGGGTTTGGGCATGTCTGGAAGGTGTCCCCGTGGGCAGGTGCATGTCTGGGGTGCAGGAAGGATGGTGTCCTGGGAGTGCACAGCTCACTGATGATCTGCAAAGCCATGAGCTGGAGTGAGAGCCCCAAGTCAGTGTGTTACCAGATAAGGCAAAATGAGACCTGAGAATTAACCACAAAATTGAACAGTGGCCAGTGGTGATTATGGGAGTTCAGTGACATAGCCATTACCCTAACTGCTGGTCCCGCCAGTGGTGATCTTTATGGGAGCAATTCTGTGACACAGTGGGAGTGAATGCCTGGTTGGAACACAGTGACAAAAAAAAAAAAAAAAAAAAAAAAAAAGAAAACAGGAAACTGTTCCAAGGCATTTG